GTTCACTTTAAATACCTTAGATACAGAAGATGTTGCCTGACATTTAATGGCATTCCGTATCGCGCAGTTGAAATGACTTTTCACGATTCCCAGGATGTACTGTAATTTACCATTCAATCAATCGTGAGCTTCCTGCAGAACAGCTGCCTTACGTTTCACTGTTTTGTTTGGCTTTTGGCAGTCTTAGGACAATCGGATGTGCCGTGTTAAAAGTAAAATTAAGTGTTCGTGTCAAATGTCCTTAATTGAGTGAGTAGTATTTATGGCACTGAATACACGCTTGATTATCCGCGCGTACTTATAAGTGAATTTATTCCTACCAGAAGTCATCGTCCTTAAACTATCATAAAAGCTAACTGGCAACGTAGTACGAAACCTTAGCCCACCAATCGCCATTATTATATACATAAGGTAGTATTTTCAACAACCGCTTAAGCATTCCATGCAATCTGAGCATCGGGAAAATGTAATACACAGACGAGGAGGCAGGCGCTACTTGTGATGGCGTCTGTTTAATAATCTTTTATTTGTTCGCCCGAAACGAAATATTTGCATTATTTCTATTTCTTGTTTACGATCACAAACGATATTCAGAACATATCGGTTGAAAACAAAGTATTCCGCTGGGCTTTCCATTTTGAGGCCATTTTGTTGTCCGCATTGATTTTCTTCAGTCTTTGTTCTACCGTTCTTACCCCGTTAGCCTTCTTATATCTAACGCGCAACCCATCACAATTACTAAGGCCCCCGACTGCAATATCGCATTTTGTAGACGTTACGTATTATTTAACACATCTCATTAAGTCGCAATTGGCGACGAAGATCTTAGGATATGCAGTCGTAACATAGACCATGTTATTATATCAATAATACAGAACAGCCGACACGCATTTGCCGTCGTCCGACAATGACGTCATATGCGTCCCCGCGAACCAACTGCTGGTGCTGAAGGCCCACAGAACTCACAGCACTGGTCATAACGAAGCGGAATTTGACTGTCCTTTCAATCGGTCTTTACAATCAAAACTGTTCTTTTGAGAAAGTTCGTGCATCTATCTCCGCGATTGCGCTAACAATCATTGATAGGCATCGCAGCAAGGCCACAGCCGGGATCACATGCAACATAATTTAGTTTCCTACTTTAAGCATAGAACACAAGTGAGCCTCTGATAGTCGGCATTAATACCGTTCAGCTAACTACGGCACGCTCTTAACACCAAAACGGGTAAGATGCTTGTACATACTGCATCGATCGTCCTATTAAACAGCTAGTAATTTGAACCGATTTTGCCTGAAGCAGAAAGACTTATTCCTTATGAGAAGGTTAGAGCCTCCTTCGACGAAATAGGGAAAGTAAAACGCTCCCAAGTCCGTTTGCAGTTAAAGAATGCTCTACATCCAAACAAACACGCAAATTACCTGATTGGCATTGATTTGAAGAAAAAGGAAATTTGGGTATTTCAATTAAGTATATTTTACAACGTCTAATCTAAAACTGAATGAGTTGTGCATGTAGTTTCGAGGTTAACACAGGCTGGGCTCTAGTTGAGTGAGAAGAGGATAGCCAGGTTGGCGAAAACAACAGCAGCCAGACCGGAAATCCAAGCGGCTGCGGAGAGTGCGGAGATTGGCACGAAGGTAGCCACTATAATGTTGCTGTCCGTATCTGCTTGTTCGCCCTCTTTAACATCAGATAGCGTAAGATTTACCGACTTGTCTGTCATTTGTGCTGTCAATATGTAAGTTGAGTTTGCTACAATGATAACAACAAATAATGTATTGTAGTTGGCGCAGAGAAGGCCACACGCCCTAAAGTCAATTATCATCAAATTCAGTCTTACCCTTTATGTTCGATTTACAAACGCCTATGTTGCCGTCGCCACATGGCGACTTTGGTGGGGTTTTGGCACCCGGATCTTCCAAAGTCTAAATATAATGACAGATGTTAGGTTTCTCGATCGTTTAACCAACTGTACTAATTTAATGTTTACATGGAAGAGGAAATTGCTATTTTACCTTTGGCATGAACGATAGTTGGAATGTCTCATTGAAAGGCTGCGCGAGTGTTTCAGATGGACGTTTAGTCGGTATGGTAATACCAAATTTTGCTTCCTCACCGTTTTCGCCCTTGAAGATCAGTTCAGTGATATCGCTGGGGTCGTTGATAAAGACTGGTACTGTGTACGTCGCTGAAATGTCGATAAAACATAGGGACCTGGGTTGGTATTTCAAGATATTTGTTAGATGTGACAGTGTGTTATTCACGATAATATTTTCAATAACATTCTTTGTAAGCAAAAACAGTGCAAAATGAACCGTTCTCTGTATAACACTCCACGGCATTCATCGCCTCACATTTACCGTAT